GGGGGGGGGGTGGAACTTCATGCAGATACGGGGTGGTTTTGATAAGTGGTTCCAGATGTATTTGCCCATGGTTAAGAGATGCCAAGTTTTTTGGAAGATGTTCGCAGCCAAAACGCATTCTTCCGTACGTCGCATTTTTGTGTAATTTCGCATGTGGTGTGGCATTATGTCCGGGATGATGCACGTCTTTTTATTTTTACCGTAGCTGTTTTGATATTGGAGTAAATGGTTATTTTCGAAACATCCCCATGTCGTTGAAATGTTGTCGTCCGTTTATGTCACCGGTAGTAAGTCGCGGCGGGGCTGATGGGGCGGAAATGTGGGGTGGTCAGAGGTCAACATTAGGAAATGTTAATACCGATGACGTAATCCTATCGATTTCAAACTGGTCGGGTGTGGCGACCTAGTGGCGGCGTGTATTTAGTCACGTAGCAACTGGCCGGTCGTCCTAGCAACGACACATGGCCAATATTTTTGGGTTGGGCCGCTCCATAGTGTTAGTGGAGCAGCTCTTTGTAAACATGGACAATATTTTTGAGCAACCCATCAATGTGTTCTGCCTCGTGGTCGGATGTGGTCTGGGGCTGGTAAACCGCACATACAGTACTAGTAGATCGGGTAATTTTATGATTTGCTAGTTGTAAAGGCGTCGTGTAGTATGAGCCGGTATATGAAGAAGTAGCCTGTGTTACACAATCATGCTTTCGGCCGGATTGATGTGCAACTGTTACTAATTGCAGGGACTGCGCTAATGCCGACCAGTCGCGCTGTCCTGATACACCGCGAATGTGCGAGTGTTCCCTGTAGACAGTCCCGGGAGCAGATTCCAGGAGCCAAACCAAAATACGTTCATGAACCGAGTCCAAAAACCGAAACGTGAAAATCGGATGATCGGACCTGATGTACATTTCTCTTTCTGTAGATTGTACACACAATACACACATCTTTAGTTAATCTGGCCATGGACAGGTAAAAAAAAAGTAACCCTGAATCATACTAGATTAGCGTAAATGCATGTTTATGCGTTCAAAACAAGAAAAGAATTTGTTTCCCGGTATTAATCTCTTGAAACACGGCGCTGAATATTGACGCTAAAATATTTCGGGCATCGCGCGCCCTTCCCCGTTGTTTAGACTGTATGCAAATCCCGCGTCACGTGTCGGCATTTCGCATCTCTGATTGGTTGTTGCGTCTTAAGATGACTGAGCCGACGCGCGTTTAAACAATTTTCTTTGTTCGATTTATCACACTTCACAGAGAATTGTCGCCAATGGCTACTTCTTTTTGTTGCAATATATAATACTTCACGGAGAATTGTCACCTATGGCTTCTTGTTGAAATTGCAACAGTCCAATACACAGGCAGCTGTTGCTGGTGTTGTGTCTCACACATAGAAACAAACACAGGATGGACAATACTCATTTTCACTTGAGTTAGGCCACACCAATTTAATTTGTTGGTTCTCGGATTCGCCTCTTCATTTTTTTCTGATTTGCAAAAAAAAAATGATTCTGGTCCTGAATCAACTGAAAAATGCTCATGTTTTGCTCCCAACAGTTGAGGAAAGTCCTTTTCTTCCTAGATGTTACAGTTTTCCCATCTATCATTGCAGTGGTTTGATTAAAAGTTCAAAATTAAATGTTTAAATTTTAACCCAGCCTTTTGTGTTGACTTCATGGCTCATTTCATAGCATTTAAGCCTATAATAGGATGCCTAGACCTGTTTTTATTTTTATTTTTTTTCGCCCTGTCGCTTCATATTTTTTCTGAAAAAATCCGAGAACCAACAAATTAAATTGGTGTGGCCTTAAGTCGGAAAGTCGTGTTTAGCACCTTTCCCAAGGGCACAAGATCGGTGGCATGTCAGGACTTGAACCTGGGACCTCTTGGTTCCTAGTCAAGCACTCTGCCGTTACGCCACACGACCCCACGTAACTTGCTCCCAGCCTACTCCTAACCATAGTTACCCATGGCCATACATGTACATAAATGTGTGACCAGCTTTACCTGTGAAAAGATGAGGAAACTTGATGGGGAGAATGACTGCCTCCTTCAAGGCTTCCTTGGCGGCCTCCAGCCCTGCCACATCATCCCACTTCACGTTGGGTGTCTCCATCACAATGGCACCTGGAACAGCACACTCACACTGGTCAGGCTTCTACTTTCAAGGCAAAATGGTTGTCATAAAAAAAGATCATCTGAAAATGACAGATTTTTCCCAGGGTACAGATACCAATTTTCATATGAACAATTAAAACAAATTAAATTTTATGCCACAACAGTTTGTTTCATCTAATTTTCCTGCAAACTTGGTACCTTAACCCATGTACCTCACGGTACCTTAAACTTGTAAACAGCTCTAAACTAAATGTAAAACATATGAATAATCAGCTTGTCACAGTCATACTTTCAAGTTGACCCATGAGTTTCTTCTTGTCAGGATCCTCTTCATCTGAGTCACTACCATTGTCCTTCCTGGTGAGATAAAAAAACAGACAGCTGTTAGACCCTGTTCAGACCAGACTTATATTCAGCGCTTTCAAAAACTGATTTTTATTTAACCTAGCGCTTGAACGCAAATCAACCTGTTTTTAGGGGTTTAAATCCGATTTTCAAAAAACACCTTGGCCTTTCCATGGCCAATCGATGGGGTCATACATGTAACTCAGTCTTGTTGTGAGTCTGGAGAATCCCTGGGTGGCCGGCTTGAGCAGGTTTGACTGTACATAACATTATTATAAACCTGTGACTGCCTGTGACATGTGTTGTTGTAGATTAAGCCCCTACCACACATAACTGAATATAGCCTTCCAAACACTGCCAAACTCCCCCCCACCCAATCTTATTATATAGGAGTAGGTAAAAAATTCTATTATTTTTGATGAAGATCAAATCATATGCATGTTAACATTTCATTTGTAACACAGGCTTATGCACACCATAGTCATGATAATACATGTAAATGTAGTTACATATTTGCAATTATGTCATTAATTAGGTGACTCACTTTGAACTGCCTCCTTCTTTCATCGGCTTGGGCTTGCCACCTTTGCCGTCTTTATTTTTCAGGTGCTTTTTGATCTGCTCTGCCCTGTCCAGGTACTGCACACACTTGGAACGGATGCTTTCCTTGGACTTTTCACTCTGAGCCTCATCTAACATGTACATGACAAAATGTGGAAATTATTTCCTTGACTGCCATAAGGCCATGTTGATTTGATTATATGGATGACATCCTCCGGGAGCCCCAAAACTGATGCGCGCGTGTGAATAAAAAAAAAGTTTTGCAAAAAAAAAAGTTCTTTTCATTATGAAATCTACGTGGTCATGAGGGTTGAGCAAAAGGCACAGAATATGGTTTGGCGAATAATCTAGTCTTCAAGTTCATTTCTTTACAATTTCGTCTTTTTTCGTTTGATTTTGGCATTCTACGACATTGGTACAGTTTTTATTAATTTTTTTTGTAACTTATGGTATATTTTTGCTCATTTTGTAACTGTTTTGTACGATTTTTACAGTATGGTTGAAAACTTTTTTTTTTTGAAACGGCCTGAAAATTCATGCGCGCGTGCGGATGTCATCCATATAATCAAGTCAACATGGCCTAACTACCAAGAACACAGTGATAGTTCTATGACCACTCATAGTACCTTTGCCATATAACATGACTCATAAAATTATCAGAATCTGTTATTCCATGATCAGGGTGTATCAATGGCATCAGGTATCATTATGTCTGCACTTGACAAGATATGTCATTGTCAAACAAAATTGATCACAAAAATCATATACTCTATATGCGCTAGGTGGTCACTGGTACTTTACTGGGGGCCTGCAAGGGGGGGGGTCCCGAAAACACTCTACGCTGAATTCGGAAACTTCTCGATTACGCTTTACGATAAATTCCAAGTGGTCACAATGCATTACGTAGAATTAAAACGTCGAATTACGCTCTACGCAAAATGCGCCAATTACGCTCTACGTTGAACTGATGGTCCGTCTACGCTCTACGTAGAATTAAAATGGCTGATTACGCTCTACGGAAAAGGGCTTGCGAGCCCCCTTTACTGTGTTCTACAATACTTCTAGTACTGGAACAACTACTTAAAGTTATACTAACTTACTACTCATACTGGTACTTACATTTGATGGCATGAAGAAAGTATTCCACTCCATGTTCATACAACCTCAGGGCCTCTTCATAGTTTTTGACTTTGTCTTCCTCTGTTGCCTTGGATACAAGATCTATAGCTTTCTGCAAATATATATATATAGAATTATAACCTGCATATTAATGAGCATATTTAGCTACCATTGACACTGGCATTTTTAAATTCAAAGAGTCTTCATGCAGTCTAAAGTACAAATATGTCAAGTTCTCAATGTTTGTGTGTATTGTAGAGGCCCCTATGCTCCTATACTCACTTTTAACCAGCGTTTGGGTGTTTCTTTCTGTGGAGTACTCTATGAGTATGAGTATGACCCTTCACATGCACAAATCTTTGAAAAAATCAACATTTGACTGAAGCTTTATTAATGTTTACATACGAAGATATAGTTTGTCCTTCGAAAATGGAAAGTTTCCTTTTTTCTTGAGAATACCAGATTCTGGTCATACCATACTGTGGTCATGTGTTTAGGACTCAGGCCACACCAATTTAATTTCTTCGTTAACGGATTCGCCCGCTTCATTTTTTTCTGATTTACAGAATCAACTGTAAAATGCTCATTTTTTGCCCTGAACAATTGAAAACAGTCCTTTTCTTCCTAGTTGTTACAGTTATTCCATCTTTCAATGCAGTGGTATCATTAAAAGTTCAAAATCCATTGTTTAAATTTTGAACCAGCCTGGTGTGTTGACTTCATGGCTCCTATCGTACCATTTTGGGCCATAATACGATTAATAGGATTCTTTGGCTTGCTTTTATTTCTATTTTTTTTGCCGGCCCGCTCCATTATTTTTCTAGAAAAATCCGTTAACCAAGAAATTAAATTGGTGTGGCCTCAGTGCACGGCTTGTGCCACAGGAAGTTGTCCATCTGTATTTGACCCCTATATTATCTGGTGAAAACCCTGCCATGTATGACTTTGGTTTGGTCATGTGAGAATGATCTCAAGCCAGTTTTATCTTACTGATGAGCTAATCTTCTATAACAGTACCGGTATACATGGGATCAGGTCCAATCGCCGCATGTCACTTTCGCCCCTTCGCCCCATGTAAGGCTGACTGGCGCTATGTTTGATATAGATACTACGCATAGGCCACACCAATTTAATTTCTTGGCTAACGGATTTTTCTAGAAAAATAATGGAGCGGGCAGGTGGAAAAAATAAAAACAGGCCTAGGCATCCTACTATGGCCCAAAATGGCACGATATGAGCCGTGAAGTCAACACACCAGGCTGGTTCAAAATTTAAACAATGAATTTGGATACCATTGCATTGAAAGACGGAACAACTGTAACAACTAGGAAGAAAAGGACTGTTTTCAACTGTTCAGGGCAAAATATGAGCATTTTGTAGCGAATGAAGCGGGCCAATCCGTTAACCAAGAAATTAAATTGGTGTGGCCTTATATTGAGTATTCCGCAGCGGACTGGGTCACGTGTCGGACTGTTTCATCAGCGGTAAATACTTGCAGAACACAGAAGTATAAAATATAGTCACAGGGCTCTGGTAGCAAGTAAAATGATATTCTGAAGTAAGATATATGTGCGTATATCACCTGAATAAAACATAGTGCCATTGACCCTAACATGAGGTGAAGTTCTAGTAAATGGGTGAGGCAAAAGTGACATATGTGGCAAATCATCTAGAAACCAGTATACATGTACCACTAGCATAGAAACATGTGGTAACCTTGAGTGTAGTTGTAAAAATGTAGTTGTAGATGTGTAGTAATCTACGATAGAAGTGTAGTACACTAGTAACTTGTACAAGTGTTGTTGTAGAACTAGAAGTGACACTAGTCTGAGTATGCCTTGAGAGTTGTCGACTCACAGACTACATTTCCATATACCACACTTACATGTAGTAAATTCACTTTTTGCACTTATTGAATGTAGGAATAAAAGACTTGTTGGCTATGGTACCATGTTTTGTCGCTTGAATTTTTGTTTCAACGTTGATAGTTTGTGTAATTTTTTAAAATTTAAGCATATATAGATAATGGCATCTTGTTTTTCTGACATCCATCTTTTTTTCTGCTCTCTGACTTCTGTATGTGTAAAATCAGTCCTTCACACACACGTACAAATACTTGCCGCTTTTACGTATTTATACAAAAACAGGCCGCTGTTAGCCTGAGACGACGTCAAACGACTCCTCACCTGTAACGTGGATCCTGCCATGAGGAGTTGCTGTCCTATATTCTGTAAGAAAATGTAAAGTTCTCCAACCCTCTCCAGACGTCACACTGAAAACACACCAACTATTCGCCCAAGATGGCGGAGCTTCCTGAAATGACGTCATAGATAGCTGACAAATGCAATTAAAACCTTCAACTAAGAAAAAAACAACAACAATAATTTGCAATAAATGTACATCACTTCGTGGTGATAGAAAGTAATTACACGCAAGGTAGCAAGCAATATTACGGTATTATATAGGAAGAGAGCAACTCATGTTTTCAGAATAGCATGTTATGTGACACTATTGTTTGGATGCGGTGCTCCACCGAAAGTCTCGGTGTTTAGGTTGCCTCTGTTGCAGGCGCGCTTTGCTATGTTCGGAAGGATTATGTTGCTATATTGAAGTTGTTGTTTTCCTTCTTAGTTACGTATCATTTACTAATGGATAAACCATGTAGAATATCCGTAGAAAGCCTACATTGTAGAAAACGAGAGCCTTCTAAAAATAGCATGTAATCAGCGGGGGAAATATTGGTATCAAAGTAGCCTCCAAAGGAACGCCTGCCGTATAGGCTATCTGAAGCAAGTCACCTGACATGGACGCATTAGCTGACAGGTGAGTCACCGGGGACCGCCGGTCAGGTGATACTAAGTAACTGGTAAGTACAAAAGAAGAAGGTTTACTAATGAAATTTTGAAAATGATAAAACTAGAAAGGTAACATTTGCAAAGCAAATGTATAATCGGTTTACCTTCGCATATGGTCTGTTCTGTTAATTCTTACTCAAACACATTAATATCTATATATATGGTGACAGATGTCTAAATCCTTCATGCTACAAAACTGCAACATGATGTAACCCAATACTAGTTACCATGGTGACAGACGGTTTGGTTCAGGTCATTGACCTTTTGTGTTTGGAGGAGAGGAAAGTGGGCAAAAACAATATGGTTTCCTTCGGTAATATAATTTATTATTTTGGTGTTGAGGGGTATTGAGGAAGATAATTAATGCTAATTGCTAATCCAACATTTCACTTCATTTCAACTTAACAACTGTGTCACCCCCTCCATGACCTGGTTCCAGCAGCCAGGACAACGGCCACTGGGAGGACCTTAAGAAATGGAACTGCACTTACAGTACCAGCAGCCCGTACAAAAAGACTGAAAAACTCTTTGTTACACAAGGCAATATGCATGTACAACGAGTCATTGTAGTAATGACTTTCAAGACTCTCTGGACTTTATTTCAGTACCCATGTGTGGCTTTGTAACATGTTGTTTGCGTGTCTGTATATGTATTGTCATGTTAATTGTATTTACTATGTACAAAATTGTAAAAATCAGTGTTATTCAGCTTGGTTGACTTGTGAACTGGCTGCAAGGCTGATTTTATTAATAAAACTTGAAACTTGATCAGTAACACCCTCTCAAGAACAGGTTGGCCAAGAATTGCAATCTTGGTGGACTGCCGATCATTTGCTTCCCGGGTGCTATGATGAAAATCATGAGTGTTAGAGTTCAAAGACAACATCTCGATACCCTGTTTAGATTAAGGCAAGGTTTGGTTTGCCGATTCGGAGTTTCCAGTGCTGAAGCCAGTAGGAGGATGGGGTTATGTGCGCGTTAAAAATTTGCGCGTGAAAAATTTGCGCGCGAAAATATGCAAATTAGCCGATTCCACAAACTTTTTGCTGTTTTAAGCTTAGACGTAAGGAAAAAAGACATAAAACAGAATTGAATATCAGTTTGTTGCATTCTAGACTACATATCCCTGTTTTGTCAATATTTCAGTGATTTTAAGTGATTTTCAAATTAAAGTTTTCACGTGCAAAAAAATGGTTGAAATTTGCGCCTGAAAGAATTTGTTTGCTAAAATATGAAATCAACCTTCTAGAATGGAGAAAAGCTTCACATTTTACCATACTAAACCATATACTAGTATACTAGTAGTAACTTTTCCATGTATTTCTGACAAAGTCAAGTAATTTTGTAATGTTCAGATTTCATGAAAAATTTTCCAATTAACCTATTCCTAAGGGACCTAAAATTTACACCAAAATTTTAGGATATAGATGGAAAATACCACATGATCACATTTTTCTGCATGAGAATTTGGTACTAAATGTTTTCTGACATATTTCAGGGACTTTTTCACGCGCAGAAAACCCATCCCCGCCGACACTGGACACCAAGTGTTGACGTAAGGCCACAGCAAGTAATTTTTATGGATGACATCAGCGCGTGCATTAATTTTTGCCTGATTTTGGAAAAAAAAGAAGAAATTTTGTTGCCTTCTGACAGTGGTCAACATACCAAAAATGGGCAAAGATGTCTGCTGCCATGCCGGAAGGTGGATGGCAGATAACTATGAAGAGAGGAGACAAGAAAAGGCTCTGATTCAATGTTTTGTTTCTTACTTTGATGCAGTGATATGTGATGCTGGCTGTGTATATGTGATGATCCCACCGAATAAAAACCATTTGTACAATGATGGAGTCAAAATTCTAAAATGTAGGAACTTTTTTCGGCCCGTCTTGCTTTGTTTTCGCGCGCTCGCATTAGATTTGGAGTCTGCGGAGGATGTCATCCATAAAATTTACTTGCTGTGGCCTAACTTTGACACTGGAGATCTAGGGCGGAAGCCGCTATTATATATATGAATCTCTAAGCAGATTCGGTGGGGCAAGGGGACTTCATGTTAGCCGCCTGTATCATTGGCCGCCACTATCCAACGTTCGCCCCACGAGATAGCAGCGCTAAAAATCTTGGCCATCCCTATTATAGCCACTCCAAAACCCCCTACCTCTGCTTGGAGAACAAAAGCCGCATCACCTCTGTAACGTTACACCGAGTGCTGAGAAAGGAACCCGACTAAATTCCTTACTAATAGGTACTTTTGCAACACTGCAAAAAAGCTTCGATATCCATTATACAACTGAAGGCCACTGAACATTACACAAAACATTTTAATTGGCAGACACATCGTCCGCGAAATCCGCGGAGTTCGGGCGTCAGAGCTCTGCGGAGTTATGAAGATAGACCCCCATCTGGTGCCTTCACGAAGTTCACGTTGTCGTCTGCTGTGCGACTGTGTATAACGTAACGTACTTCGTGAGCGCGCCTAGAAGTCAGGGATGCCACAGTTCCTGTATAAGAAACACAGCCTTGGGTTTGTGGAACTTTCTTTTCTTATCTTCAGGCGTTTCCATATTATTTTATCATCTTTATATTAACGTCTTGATAAAACGTCCTTGTTCTAACTCGCAACGATCTTGCCCCCCTCCCACCCTCGACCCTTCATGCACATGTACAACATTACTGACAATTTTTGGTTTATTACTACGAACTACAGTAAACCAATGAGGTTGAAAGTGAGGTTTTTATGATCTTTGCCTATTTTTTTTTAATCTATTGATCTCTGGTACAAAAACTAAACGTCCTTGGTGCGATGAGCTGGATAAGGTTAGCAGGACACAGTTAGCAGTTTCCGGCCTATGGGGATTTCTATAGTGACCTACTTCGACGCGGTAAAAAATATAGTAGGGTGCAAAAATTAGGTACAGAACTTGAATATGTTTGAGTTCAAGGTATAATGTACAAAATATGTGAAAATGGGCTAAAGTTTGTCGGCTAGTTCTGACTCGTGACACAATCTTTTAAAAGCACTATGCGGAAGGTCATGGAATGGCAGCAGGTGCACAGCACTAGGCAGTGACAGTATCGGTGTACTGTGACCATATTAACGTTATATTTATGATAAAGCCTCGGTCACAACCTGCCTTACGTACAACTGAGTGCTGTCTACGTGCAAAAACGTGGGCAAATTTTTGGGATCCGTAAGTTGTGAGTCCCACCACCGAACGCAATCCAACGGATTCGGAGGAACGTAGACACGCCGTAGCACCTAACGTTAAGTACATGCAAAACTTTCTCTGCGTGCGGGTTGCGCACCGCAACTGGTATATACCGTATGTAAGCAGCACGTGTAAGTAGGACCTGCATACAATAAAGTGGCAATCGCTCAGAGATCGTACGTTGTCAGCACATACAACTCACTCATGAAAGATGCACGCAAGTGCTCACGGCCAGACGTGGCGTGCAGACCACATACATACTAACACCATGTGCAACTGTGTGAGTGACGAGCGTTGACCGTACTGCTCAGTACTGCCAGTCCTTCCCCATGTTTTCAGAAAAACGTAGCAGACATGGCCTTCCCAAAAACGTACGGACAAAAAGCACGCACGGCGGGTTGTGACCGATTCTTAACTTATAGTAAAAAGATATAAAGCACAAGTTGATATATTACTGATAGGATTCTTCTATGTTCCAGGTGCCACCTGACCTAACACAATGAAGTCAATAGTGAGAACTGCAGTGTCAGCTGCATTAATACAGTCTGCAAGAAATCATCTTCTCCCTACAGTATCTGCCTACACTACGTCCAAGTGCACTGTAACATGTGTGCAATACTCAAACTATACCGGCAACCACTGTACACCTATGCTAAGGACATGGACGTCAGGTTCAACTGTGCTGTTGGCCTATGTAAGGCAAAGACCAAGGAGTAACAATGTTAGACTTCCTGCTGGTATTACTTCTACAAGAAGTATGATAGCATCTTATTGTCCTGGAAGGTATGAAGCCAACAGTTCATCACTTCATGCTAACTTTGGCACAGACAGGCCTGAACAGCACCAGGACATAATGCCGGTGACTGAAGTTGATGAAGAGAGTGAATCAGGCAGGCAAACCACCACCGGAACATCAGAACGTCACTACATAAACTGTAGCAATGAAAATGAACTTGGATGCAGCACAAACTTGACTTCTACGTCTAAGCCAGTCTTATCCCCTAGCACCTCTGAAACTGAAAGATATGGAGACCAAAAAACCAATGACAGTTCAGTTAATCCCCCAAGTGACCAAAGCTCATTGGATGTAGCTGTACTTGAGTTTGTTGACTTTCCTGAAGGACAGAAAACTGGTAGTGACCTTGAACTTGCTGACCTTGACAATACAGACGTGCCATCAGTAGACAGACAGCAGGCATACAGGGGCCCTGTCCACCAACACGCATATGTTGGTCTCAGGACACTTGTAGACCATTCAGAGACACTACAGAAGCTGGTACACCTCGGTGTAGATCTACACAAGGTCAGCAGAAAGAGAAACGCAGCAAATCTGATAGCAAAACTAGACTTCGACAGTCAGGTGAAGGAAAAGCTGATGTTCCTCCTGGATGTTGGAGTCACCAAAGAGAACTTGGGAAGCATCATTTCTGTTAACCCCTTCATACTGGGAGTGGAACTGGACAGGCTGGAGAAGAGAGTCCAGTATCTGATGTCCAAGAAATTCAAAGAGGATGAAATAGGTATGAAGTAAGAGAAGGAGGCTAACTTGTTTTTACCTCTGTGAAAAATGGAGGTATTGTTTTTGATATGTCTCTGTGTGTGTCTGAACCCAACCATATCTAACAATCTAAGACCCATGGGTTAGATATGGTTTAATTTGGTTCAGTCTGTCCCAGAGTGAGAAAGACATTATTCACCTGTACATGTAGCTTCTATGGCCCTGGATCTTCCCTAGTATACTATCCCTTTATTTCGGCCAATTTCTACTATTTTTCCAATGATCCGCGGTGCCTGGTAGAGGCTACTGTACATATACATCGGGAAAATAATAACTCGCTGTTTGGCCTTGTGGACAGCTGGTGTTTTCCCTTGAACAATTAAGAGTCTACTAGATTTTATTATTTTTCTGACTCTTAGTTGCCAAGAATATCCTGTATACTATTTTACATTTGATATGTAAGAAAATACCTACAAAAATATTTGGGTGCACCAGTGCACCCACAGAAGAAAATTGGGTACACATCTAATTTTGGGTGTACTAAGGTGCACATGTCATGCACCCAGTATTTTGAGCGGCTCAGCCCTGATCATGATGTTTGGTAGAGGTACATGTATGAGGTCTCTGAGATCTTGTTTCAGCTCTGTACTTACCTGCTGCCGCGATTTTCTGTGACTCACATGTTCTTACACCCGTTGTGCAGCTGGGCTTGTGAGCCGTGCCCCGCATCTGCTGCAGTTGAGTGTGCAGCGGCTGGACAACAAGCTGGGCTGGCTGCAGGGCAACCTGCAAACCACAGCTGCTCAGGTAGGTCATGTGGGATACATATTATTATTTATATCATACCCGGGCCACGATAACGTTCGATAACAGGTTCCGGATACTTTACGGTATGGCCCGGGCTCCATGGCTTCCATAGAACAATTCGAATGCATTTCGTCCTAACCGCGAGCGCCGCTTTTGAAAATTCGAATACAGAATCCGAACGTTGAAACTGATGTTGTTGCATTTGAGGGTTTAGGGGCACCAACTTTTGGCTCATCTTGCATTGAGAGGCACGTTTTCTTGGGTGGGTATGACATAAATAAAATATAACAAGGTGTATTCCGCATCACCCTCGGTCCCGGCCCTCCCGCGAGTCGGATCGCCCGACGGCCTGCGGCCCGCGGTCGGGCCGATACCTCGGGCGATACGGAATACCCCGTGTTGTATTCTATATGTACGTGTGCAATGAATGAATGAATGAATGAATGAATGAATGAATGAATGAATGAATGAATGATACACTTTATTTCCGTGTCGTGCGCTATCCCGCGCCCAGCCCGTGTGGGTTTATACGACACCGATTCAATAAATTATACATAAACAAAAGACGATCAAAGGTACAGATAACAGAATCCAAACAAAAAAAAGAACGCAAATAAAGGTAGGATATATACAATAATGGTGGACAAATAAGTGAACTCATAGCAGATCGTAAATACAAATAAACAAATCTGTACATAATGAACCAAGAGTTCACAAAATAAATACAAGTACAAAATGGTAAATAACACAATAAGAGAAAACAAACGTGCAGAAGTAACAAAAAGTGACAACTGTTGACGTGTTATGAATACAGGTATTTTCTTCTTTTCCCCCACGCTCGATAAATGAAAGTTGCTAGGTGTGCATGTGTGATTGTGGTTAGTGTTGCATGTTTTGATATAATATCTGGAGGACTTTTGTTTTAAACTTTCAATAGTTAAGATATTAAGACAGTCTTCTTGGAGAAATACATTTAGATTTTTGCCCGGCCTAAAGATCCGGTACAGTGCCCGTTTAATTGGACCGTTCTTTTTTAGTTGGTACATTAAACCATAGCAAAAGCCCTTTATACGCCATAGCATGGCCAGGTCAGCCCAGGCAAGGCCAGAAGACAATTCTATCACATCAAATTCCTGTATCAGCTCTTAACAAATGAAAGAAAAATTTCATTTTCTTACAATTGCATAAATCATGTAGATCAGGTAACGCAGGTTACATGCAGTTTACGTGCAGAGCCAGTTTATGGTTAATATATAGCATTACAAACATGCATCGCGTATTAAAGTCGTACAAGCGAAATTATGTAAAAAGTTGGGTAGTTGTACATATTCATTGCAGCATAATCTACCGGAAAATAGCCCTCCCTTCTGGACTTTAGAACTCTTTTAAGTCGTAGTGCCTACATGTAAATTGCTTCTTGTTTTGTTCCAAGACTCGTCATATAGTAGTGCGATATCCACGAGTCTTGACAGTGAGCCTTGCTAGGATGAAAGAGAACCTGCAGGTTGCACAGCTCCAACTGGGCTTCTCCCCTGAACAGCTGAGAACCATGGTCCTGAGGGCACCACGGATGTTGTCCAGAGGTAAGAAATGATGAAGAAATGGCTACAAGTCTCTTGTCACATTGTCAGCATGTACTGGATTGAGTCTTGTTCTTACCTTATAATTACCTTCAATATGGCACCTTAGTTCTTCCCATGCCTACATGTATGTTGTGCTTAATCCACACCAATTTAATTTGTTGGTTCTTGAAATTTTTTCACAAAAATATCAAGCAACAGGGCAAAAAAACAGGTCTATGTCTTTCCATTGATAGATAGAAAAATGTGAAAACTATTATTCATCTGTATCATAGTGTATGGGCCAAAATATGAGCATTTTGGAGTTGTTTCAAAGCCTTTTTTTGCAAATCAGACAAAAATAAAGCATGGAAATCCAAGTGTGACCTTACATCTACATTGTAGTCTTAACTTCTAAAACAATGACTTGAACATTGTCAGTTTTGCTATTCTTGAATGATATGTTTGATGTATTTCTGTCTCATCATAGCCATACATGTGTAGCTAAAGGCATGGAGCCATGCCCATGATTGGTTGCATCTCAAGTGTTTGATCACAAGTTCACTTTGGCCTGTCATACTAAAACCTCAAGAAACCAGATATCCTAAACTGTCCTGTTGATGACAAATTATGTACATGTATCAACAATTTTTCAGTCAAATGCAGTACTAGTTTCCTGAAATCTGGCCTTCATTTGTTATTAATAATAAGGAGTTTGTAGAATTTGTTCCAACAATCTAAGTAAAAATATTTTTTAACAGTCAAAATTGTGATTTAACATTTGCATTCGAATATTTAGAGGTTCCTTTGTAGGCAGCCCACTGTTTGCTCTGTATACTGTATAGAATATATGAAGTACATGTAATACCATATTGTATGTAACATCATTTTCAATGGATTTTATGATAGCCTTGATGAGCAATTGAAAAACTAGGAAACCACTTAATTCAATAAGGACATTACAAATCACTATGATGCTGTGTAAAATGTACTATCTATGGTAGATAACTATTGTTTAGTGTTGTATTGCTTCTGCCTTTCAGACAAGTATAAACTCATTGCTGTGTTTGACTACCTACACAATGAGATGGGAATACCCCACCACATCCTGGCCTGCAGTCCTCAGGTAACTCAGAAGCTTACAGCTGCATTCTGTAACATTGGGACTAGTGCTGCATACCTAAACCCACATTTAGGTTTAGGTCCGGATTAAAGTCCAGAAGTTTAGCTTCAGTTCTGGACTTGTAAGTCCAGACCTAAACCCATGGCATATACAAAATTGCATGTTGGCAACCTTGCAGTGTTGTTTGGGCAAAACTTTGGCCACATAACATGGAGGCCGGTACTTGACGATGCTCGATGGCAATGTTTTCTTCGTTTTGCAGTGAAGTTTTTGCAATCTATAGAAAGTTTTAGGTGGTTTGGAAAGAAAAGGGGTATGTGAAATGGTCTTTTATGGTAATACGTCCGGACTCGGTTCTTAACTTGGACTTGAACCTAAACATTCTTACAAGTCCGGATCCAAGTCCAGTGAACCGGTATGCAGCACTACTTATATGAGTGTTTTAAAGTTTTAAATGCAGCTATCAACCATGTTTGCTTACATTCTGGTATCTTGAAAATAAATGAATTTTTTGCTTATAATTTAAGTTCGCATTTTAAGAGCAAGAAAACCTTCACACATGTAGAGATTGTATCATTGCAATAAATGTATGTTGTATGGATTCTTTCTCTTCCTGACTACTTAATCCTGTAAGGCACATAGAAAAATCAAGGAAGCAGTCTACATACAGTTGGAACGTGCCAGGGTGAATCGTAACGAAGGTTGGGAACTGCCCAAGTCCTATATTTACCCCTACTCTGCAAGGAGGCGGGGGAGGTCAGAAGATCCACACAAGTCTCGTCCTAGTCTCGTGTTCTCATGAGACTAGGTCATTCCGTGATCAAGGTGTACAGTCGACACCAAAAATTTGGAGGTACGTGATTTACCTTACAAAATTACAGTCACTGATCGTAGAATTTCTACTAACTCTTAATTTTTATGGTTTTTAGGTGTTCAACAGCCGTAAGCAGCATTTATCCGCGCGTCACCAGTTCCTGCAGAAGCTGGGCCGTGCCCAGTACGACCCCGCCCAGCCTGGATACATCTGTCTGGAAAATTTCTTCAAGTTACCAGACGCCGTCTTTTGCACACAGCTGGCAAAAGTGACTATGGAGGAATACCAAAACTTCCTTAAAACCTTGTGAATGTCATGGTCAATGGCATGTTGTGTAGCAGATCCTGATTTGCATAATTGTTATTTAGTTATGCCAGGCATCACTTCAGTTACCTACATACCAAAAATTACGAAAATCCGTCAACCAGTTTTTTTAGTTAACCTCTCTTGAAGATTTATAAGCAAACCATCCTGCAGTCCCACAACAAGCTGCTAGGGGGCGGAAAGTCATGTGACTTATTCCTGATGACAAGAGCTACAAATGTACCTACCATCCAAAATTCATGTCCCTAGCATGTTCAGATCGCAAGATATCAAAACTGGAAGTTGCACTGCAGTACCAAGGGAAGCCACTAGGGGGCCCAAAATCTAATCATTTCTAGTTTTTGTGATGCACCAACCAATGCACCAACTATGAAACCAATACATTTAACCGTTCTTGAGTTATCTTGTTGACCAACAGACAGACAAACGCAACTGAAACTAGAGTTCCCCGATCTCATACCTTCGCCAAATGATGTTAATCTTTGACAAATTATAGATTATTCCCCCCCCTGACTTAACAAATAGGATCCTCATTTTCATGAATTATATGTTTATCATATTCTCAACCAGGGACAGGAACAACAGTCTTGTTGGTATGTCATTCAGTACCAAGGATAGGGACACCAGTCGTGTTAGTGTGTCATTTAGCACCGGGGACAGGTCTTGATTGTGTGGCTTTCAGCACTGGGTCATGTAGGTACTAGGTGTGTCATTTAGGGATGTAGACACCAGTCCTGGTAAGCCATTGGTACTAGGGACATTCAACACAACTGATAACAAAGTACACCTGAGCCAAAATATGTGTCACCACAGAAGTACATTTATTCAGACATTTGTAGAAAGGTTATTCAGTAGTAGTACAGTTGGTAGGTTGGTGTATAAAAGTTTCTACAATTATTGTACAGAACACTGCAACATGTACATAGTGTTTAGCAGTTAAGCCACATCAGCAAGATTGTATCGTGTAACATAATACAGTAGTCTGGTAGTCCATCGGTTGTGATGATGACAATACAGATAAATTCACTTGTGATGACTATGAAGCTTGCAAAGTACTTCAATAGACTACCAGCTGAAGTAAGGCAGATTCTAACTTTAAAACACTTCAAGGCAGCTTTAAAGACGACCTCTGACCTCCAATCATTTTGAACGGAAATCGATTTACGTTGATTATGATTATGATTTGAAGTTATGTTTTTTTTTTGTAAATTCCCTCAGTTTATGATGAACTTCGTATTATTTATGTATAACTTCCAGTTATATTGATTTCATTTACATCTTTTGTTATGTACTTTGTATGATTTATTATTCTTTTACTTATTGTACCCCCTGGGCCTCCTTGGAAATCAGCTTTGGCTGAAGGAGCTACCCAGGTGTCTTTGAAGATTGAATAAAATAAAATAAAAAATAAAATGCATTATGTATAAGACATGTCAATTTTCTGGTCAATTCAAGGTTGAATCAACCCTACTCCAAAACAGGACACCCTTTGAGTGTGGTAGTTTGTGGTCTGGTAATTTGTGGTGGTGCCATAAAAGATGTGAGCTGTCATACTGCCAGCCAGAAATGTTAGTTTAGATAATTGAACAAAAATTCTGAAAAGTGGTGCAAAAATGTTGCAGAATGCCCTTTTAATATGTACCTTTAATTTTCTCCAAATTTCTTGGGATTTGGGGAGACTAATTAATAACCCAGAGACAAATTATATACGTCAATTTTAAAGGCAAAACATGTTTTTGCTCAGTTTCCTCTTCTGTTCCAAACCCTAAAAACATTGATATTTCCATAACTAGAGCTTTAAGAAGCTTCCAAACTTCACGTTCGAAATTGGAGTTGGACAACCCCGGGTGAATGACCGCGCGCATCATGCCACACGGTGTTGTGTTTTCAGGGATTCGATCGGGACCTCATCTAGCCTGGGTACCATCCCCAGTAGTATATTCGCAAACTCTATAACCAGACTCCTGTCCAGAACTTGGGCTAAATTCCAGCAGGAAGAGGGACCAAACATGCAACACACACATGCATACACACCTTTACACACACATTTACACGCTTGTTTGGTCTCCTGTCTAGAACTTGGGCTAAATTCCGGCAGGAAGAGGGACCAAACATGCAACACACACATGCATGCACACCTTTACACACACATTTACACGGCATGTTTGGTCTCCTGTCTAGAACTTGGGCTAAACTCTGGCAGGAAGAGGGACCAAACATGCATATAAATGTGTGTGCAGGGTGAGTGTAACAAGGCTGGCTTCCTGTCCAGTACCTGTGGGCCACTATATATACTGGAACAAGGAAACCAACACGTGTATGTGTGCACGTCGCTGGCTGTACTGTCTACGGCGTTACAGTAGCAATCCTGTGGTGTTATCAGATTGGCCAGACAGGGCAGTGCTATGGAAACCCATAGCATGCCGGCTCTTTAGTGTGGTCCAACGTGATCAGGACACACCAGAGAGCTGTAGAGAGCAGCACTGAACAGTGGTCTGTACAAGGTCCTGGACTTTCCATTAGCTGAGAGTTAAGTTCTCTATAGCTCTTCAATGGCTTGCATATATACAGCCACTTTGTTTTACTTATTAAAAGTCTGTACCAAGTCGTGTATGGAAGCATTCCAGCACTCTACCATACGATCTAGCGCAAATTTTGGTGCTCAGGGTCACACAGTAGAGTGTACCTCAAACTGCTCCACTCCTGGTGTCTTCAATCGTTCTATTTAGCAGTTTTGAGGTGTTTTTATCGTTCTAGTACATGTATGTTGGGAATTACATGTAGGCGCATCATTTAACAATTATTGTACTTTTAAGTACAATAATTGTTAAAAGTTGCTTGCTCTTTCAGTCTCAGTTAGGTGACATACAACTGAGAAACTGTCCACAAAGGATATTTCACCAGTACATTTTTTCACCAGTTTCTTTAAAAAATTCCCCTAACTTAGGCTAACTCAAGGGGTTGTAATCTGAGAGTTTTCTATCACTCTTCTTTTAGGTTAAAAGAGCTCAGACATATAACCCGGCCGGGCTCTAGTTATTTCTCAACTTTAGTGCAGCCTAACGTGCACATGTACTAAGTCCTGACCAGCAGGGCTCAGCAACTCACATTATGAGTAAATTAAAGTAGTCTTAAAAGGTGATCCACCCATGTTGTTACAGTCTTGGGTGTGGCTGATCTACCATTACACATCCAGTAGATCACTTACTTCTTAGCCACACACACCCCAAAGGGAAACCCCCTCTTTCAGGACCTACAGCCCCTACCGGAGAGGTAAAGGTTATTTACTGTGTGTGGGCCACACTCCTGGTGGCCTCCCTTTGGATCAGCAGGTTAATAATGCTTATAATTGCTCAGCTTGTGTTCTTTAAGTCCAGGTACTTACCTAGGGTGTGTTTGAATGCTTTTGCAGAGTATTGAATTATGAGAAAAATTGATCCCTGATAATTTTTATTACCAATAATTGTCTCAAAACTGGTTTACTTTGTTTCTGTCCTAGACCTTTGACACATCCATGGATTATGTATGAGTTAGCAGTTCATGGGTCCCGGATGTCTTTTCACCCATCCCTTTTACCACCATTGCTAGATATTAAGTTTTAATTAGTTGGCTGCTTTATAATATGTTGTAACTAATATATAGTATATTACTTTGCTGGATGCAACAACAGTCAAACACACCCCTGTTCTTACTACTACATGACTATCAGAGTGCCCACTGCACTGGTGTAAGAGGCCTGTTATAAGATGAAAGTTTCAGGCTTATTTCTATGTGTGCTGTGGACATTCCTCTAGTCAGACTTGGCCCTGACATGTCCCTCATGTGCAGGATGGTGGTATTTCATCCCCCCGTACATAACTGTATCAACAAAGGCACATGTACCTATTAATTGCATGTAGTTTGTCTTAAATTCTGCTCAAGTTAAATGGTCAGAAACCTCTTCTGGTGCCACGCTCGTGCCCTGGCAGACTGGTCAGAGTCGGGCTTCGCAGCCATGGGAGGCCTGGGCTCCATCAGCTGTTGGTGACAGAAAATTGAGAAGTGTTAACTAAAGGTGTAAAGTTTATTTCCAAATCATAAATGGCTGCATGTAAGACACCTGTCAGGAAAAAAAGGTGCAGTTCAAAAAGATATACAAATTTGTCAACTTAACTTCAAGCTGATGATAGAGATTTTTTGTTGTACAAAATATCAACTAGTCAGCATGCACTGATACTCACCAAGGACTCCAATTGTTGCTCAGAGGTGTTGTTGCACCTGCTGCAGTTCTCCTCCCAGTCACAGTGTGGCGCTGTGGGGCCTGCGGTGACAGCTTAATTGGAGGCTGTGGGATACTGGGCGCCATATAGCTGGGCGCAATACGTCATAAACAGGTGTCTCTTAACAGATGGAGAGCAACAGAAAAATTTGCGGTTGATACTGTTTGCACGGCTATAAAGACTCTTCAGCAGAGCAAGTACACAATCATCGTCACTTAATGTGGTATTTAGATGTATACCCAAATAGACAAATGAGTTTACGTATTTCAGGTTGGTACCGTATAGACTTACAGGTGGCAATGGAAGCTGAAGTGGCAAACGAGTACATGGGAAATACATACAGAAAGTCTTATTAGTATTAAACAATGTGTCATTACCATGGCCAACCACTTCACAAATCCCAACCAATCTCTGTAGAGATTTAATGCTAGGGCAAATCAGACATAAGTCGTCGGCATAAAACAGGTGGTTGGTGATAATCACCCGCGAGATGGCGCTGAGTAACGATAGTTGTGACGGTAGTCCCCCATTCCTTCTCCGCGGACTTCGGAGAAACCCCTGGTTGGCTCTGGACCGGAAAAGCTCTACGTTCGGTGGCCCAGGCTGACTTCGGTGACTCAGGGTTCCCGAGTTCGTGGAGTCCGACGGAGTTACTTTCTCCCTGATTGCTAATGTTTTCCTTCTTTTATTTCCTCAAAATCGGGGTTCCTCCCTCTTCCAAATTTGGTTATTCTCATCAAAAATTGTCATAGCCGATTGGCCAAAACTCTAGTAATTTGACAGAAATCATTTATCAAGATCAAAAGTCTCTTATCAATTGAACAGGCATTTGGGAGGGAAACATAAGTTCTAGTTCATTAAATCCTTGTTTTCCGGGGATCACGACCTAACCTTTGGATTAACCTTTGTCGAGTTCATGTCCTTT